TAAATCTGCGCGACGATAACATTGTGCATAAATGCAAAAGAGGACTTGAAAGGTCACAGCTTCCTACCTATAGGCACAAACTTGTATGTATACATGAATACCCAACACGATACACATTGTTAATAATGGGTTCCCCCCACACTTTTGCTTAATTTGGAGCAGAGGTCCATCAGTGGCTCTTAGTCACAAGGTATAGATAGGAACTCTTGGTCTGGGGCAAGTGATGCTCTGTATTCTTGTTGCTTGGGGGGGCGCAACAGTTGGAGGGCTCCTAGTGTCCTGGCCCCACTGCTGGATCTCCTGATGGCACCTAGTATTTTTGGCCACTGTGTGACAGAGTGTTGGACTGGATGGTCCTTTGGCGTAAGCCAACATTGGCTTCTCTTATGTTCTTAATTTATAGTTGAATTCTTGTGAGAAGCTCAAGCGTGCATGAGGGCAATCCCGTCTTATCCTTCCAACAACCTTTTCAGGTAGGTCAGGTTGATGAATATCTCAAAAATCGCACAGGGAGCTCCAGGGACTTCAACCCAGATCTCCCTGGCCAAATGCTAACATTCTATTCACTCCACCATAATGGTTCTCCTACTAACATGGAGTTAATTATTCTGAACAACCATCTGACTTTCCTCATGCTATTTGCTTCTTGGGGGGGGGGGGGGGGGGGTAGACACACCCTGCCATTAAACAAGATCTCTATTAGACTTCAGCCCTAAAAGCCACCAACCAATTAAACACAAGTTTCATCAGAAATGGTAGCACAAACAGTCTAACTTCTAAATTAATTTCCCATAACAAATTTAGTTGCAAAAGTGGTTATAAAAACCATAACCGGCCTCCAGTGTATCTGTAGCAGATGGCGCTGCGCTGAACAGCATCCCAGAAGAAAAATAAAATTGAGGCAAATAAGGCAGACATTCCCTGCTCAGCCGCACAGATCTACAACTCTTAACCCAATGCAAGAGTTGCGGCAGGGAGAAGGTTTAGAAACTAAATTCGCAGAGCCTGGTCTAAATTGTTTATGGACACAGCTGGGACTCGGGGAAGCTGACGGGCATATTTCAGCATTCGTTCGTTGTAATGTATACATAAGAGGGAGGGCAAGTTCACCGCTTGTTCGCTGCAGCAACAGCAAAGGACCTCAGGTCGTGCGTGCGGCGGGCGGCACACCCACACAGATCTCGGGCAAAAGATTTTGCTCCCAGGATCTCTGCCAACCCTTTGAAAAGCATTTGCCACCTTCTCCATTTTACTTAACTGCTAAATCAGGATTATAATCTTTACTAGGGTTGCCCTGGCCACCTGTGGGGTGGGGGGGAGGGGTGCTAGATCTGGGCTGGGAAGCTCCTTGAGATTTGGGGATGGAGGGGGGCCCGGGGGGGGCAGAGCCCCGGGGGGGGGGGGGGGTACAGTGCCATACAGTCCACACTTCAAAGCACCCATTTTCTTCAGGGGACCTGATCTCTGTAGTCTGGAGATCAGCCGTAGTTCTGGGGGATCCCCAGGTCTCACCTGGAGGCTGGCAACTTTGTTTTCAACACAAACAGCTGGTGGTGGGGGGAGAGAATCTCTGGAAAGCTACAGTCCTGTCAGGCTGCCTGCCCTGAGTTGGACAGACCACAGGGTTAATTCAGTATCAGACAGATCCTTATATTCTTATATCAACTGCCTCTTCTACTCTGGGGCAGGGAGAGAACCTAGGAACAGTGTGTGGCCTGGCCTATCACGCAGCGGCATCTATAAAAGATCACTAAACGCACAGAACTCAGTGAAAGCTGAAACAAACCAATGTTTCCTTTACCTCTGGCCACTGAAAACAAACCCAAAGTGGAAAAGGTCTTCCACTACCTTTAAATGCAGCCGGGCTCAGGGGAAGAAAGCCACGTTTTGAAAGGAAAGAAGTTCTGTGGTCTGAGAGTTACCACTGAGAGTAAGTCATATGTGCTTGATAGTGCGATGGTTTATGAATGACGCCCTCCAGGAGGTCATCTCCAAATGAGCCCGGGAAATGGGAAGGAGAAGAGAAGGCACACTGGGTACCGAACCGGACATGGAAGTGATTATGTGGAGGAAATAACAGCGAAAAAAGAGGAAGGGACTGGGTTTTCCACTTTCTTTTTTACCTACACGCTTTCTGACATTTGTCTTTCCGTCTGTTCCCCCTGTGGGTTAGAGTATGAATTCCCAGGGATGTTGATGTTTGGCATCAGTATTCAAATGGATTTAAGGAAAAGCCAAACCGAGGAGTGAGGGAATACACCAATAAAACTGAGATGCATGTGGATGTGGAGTAAGCTCTTT